GAAAATGTCTATTTAGATTATTTGCCCATTTTTAAATCAAAAAACAGTTTTTGCTACTGAGTTGTATGAGTTCCTTATATATTTTGGATATTAGCCTGTATCAGATATATGGTTGGTAAATATTTTCTCCCATTCTATAAGTTGCCTTTTCATTTTGTTGATTGTTCCTCTTGCTATGCAGACGTTTTTAATTTGATGTAGTTCCACTCATTGATTTTTTGCTTTATTTGCTTATGCTATTAGTGTCATATCCAAAAATTCCTTGCCAACAGCAATAGCAAGGAGATTCTTGTTTTTCATGATTTTTTTCCTAGGAGTTTTACAGTTTCAGGTCTTACGTTTAAATCCATTTTGAGTTCATTTTTGTGAGAGGTGTAAGATAAAGGTCCAATTTCATTCATTTTCAAGTGAATATCTGGTTTTCTGAACACTATATATTGAAGTGACTATCCTTTCCCCATTGAGTATTTCTGGCTCTCTTGCAAATATGCTAATCTTCTCTGTATCGCTCCAATTTTAGTATATGCTGCCAAAGCGAGCACAGAGAAGTTATTGTTTAATGGGTATAGAGGTTGAGTTTTGCTAGATAAAGAGTTCTGGAGATAGAGGATGGTTATGGTTGCATAACAATATGACTATACATTCAAGGATGATTAAGATGTGAATTTTATGTTATATGTGTGTTACCACAATAAAAAGAATTTGGGGAAAAAAACCTTGGAGGTAAGAAAAAAGGAAACTTACTCAGGAAACTAGTCAATGCTTAGGTAATAAATGGGCAAGGGGAATTCAAAAGGCACATTGGGTCATAAGAGATAGAACTCTGCACAAAAGGCTAAGAAACCTATTCCAAATTTAATAGACAAAAAGTACCATTAAATGATTTGAGGACAGAGTAACACGATCTGAATTTTCTTTAAGATTAATAGGACATCAGACTATAGAATGTACTATAATTATGAGAAACTAAATGTAGAGAAATCATTAGGAAGCTGTTACAATAGTTCAGATTAGAGGCAACAAGGGTGGGGTTAGGACACTGACAGCCAGTATGGAAAGATGGAAATCTTGGAACATTGATTAATGCTTGATTTCTTTGTCATGTTACCAGTAGTTATTCCAGTAAAGCAATTAAAATGCAATTTTGAAAAGTGAGATCTCAGAATATATAACATTTGTTATATTTATTCTGTATTGGCACAACCTTAAAATAATAAATGGTTAATACTAGGTTATTGAAGAAAAACCTCGCTGAGCTTAGGATAACCATTGAATGAATGAAAATATGGTGCCATCTGCTGGCAATAGCAATGAAAGCTTTCTTTGAGTATCAAATCTAAACCATTAGATCTACAAATGGGAGCAAAACCATAGCAGTCATCTATAAAACGTATCCTTGTAAAAGACCAAAAAGGATGGAAAAACACATCTAAAAAAATATTTTAATGCATTTATATAAATGGTCATTTCGTAGTTCCCTCCTCATTTGTTTCAGTTATAGCTGAAATGTAATACGTTGAACCACCTGAAACATATTTACCCCAAGTCTTTCTAGAGCACCTGATGTGGTAGAATAGGTACATGCTATATTGGGTTGTCGGAAAAGTCATGATGTATTTTTTCTGTTTTTCATTGCAAAAATGTGTCATGACTTTTCTGACAACCCAATAAAAGCCTGGTGTTCTGGATTTCTGAAACAGTCCTGATTTCACATTTTCCTTCTGCCTCTACTAATCTTAAAAGTGCATTATATATTCTAATATATTTCCATTTAAACTACATTTCTCAGACTGTTTGCTATGTCCAGAAAAGTTTCCAAAATTCTTTTTCAGACCACAGGTCCTGATTTGGAGTTGAAAAACACATTTTGCTTATGTGAGCCTGATATCATTTAATCCATAACATTTGCCAACCCCTTAATGTGTGCAGAGTGCTCTGTCCTATTCCTATTGGGAACAGATGAAGGAGGTAAAGTAGAAAAATTAAAAATTAAAATGTATTTCCTAAGAATTATTTCAAAGTGTTCGATCTCAAAGTATAACAAAAATCATTAATTATTGAAGAAGACATTTACCAACTTATAGCAAGTGCACATTAAATATTCAACAAATATTTGCTGGATCCTTACCACACAAAGCACCATGCTAGGTAGGTGGGCGTCCAGGAAAAGGACACTCTGGGAAGAGCTGTCCAAGTGCACAGTGTGGGAGATACTGAAGGGTAAGACATGGTGGGCACACTTCAAAATCATTTAGTCTGCTGGGGAAACCCTGTATGCAACAAAACCCTGAACTAACAGTACAAGTAATATGCAATCTAATATCAACATGTTTTTCCATACAAGCTAACTAATGAGCAAATTTTTTCTTTTACCATATTGAACTAATGATTGACTCTTTCACCTGCAAGCCAGATTATAGGTACAGACATTCACTGTATTAAAGAATGCCCTTTATACAAGGACTCCTACACACTCACATAAGAAATAATCAATTTTTAAAAAGTGAATAAGTAAATTTGCCTTTGAGTTTAGGTTATTGGACATAGGTTGTCTCTCAAGAAATCCGTAAGCTTTCTTCTGTGAGTCAATGAGAGCTTCTGAGCCGAATTGTTTCTCTCTTAGCCTCCCAGGAACTCTCAGAACTATGCGGCATGTCTGATTATAATTATCAGCCCACTATCAGCATTGTAACAGCTACTTTCTCTACTTTATTCAGGTGGCTTATATTTTGTTTTATATCTAAACTGTCCATTTTAAAAAATATATATAAGATTCAGTAAGAAGCCTCAAATCCTTCTGAAAGCATGTAAAATATAAATGCTAAATAAATAAAGAAAAGAAAAAAGAAAAATGGCAAGGGCCTGTTTCCATAACACACAGACTACATGGTGATGTGGGCCCCCAAAAGGTTGGTGACTGAGAAAAGAAAAAAATGGACTCGGTGGATATTTCAAACATACTCAACAAGACATGATATCTGATTGTATGTGAAGAATAATGGATCTTAGCTCTTTTTTTCTCTCACATTCTACATCTAATCTTTCAGCAAAACCTGTCAGAACTGCCTTCAGACTTTATTCAGACTCTGGTCATTTCTCAGTACCCAAACTTCTGCCATCTTGGCCCAAATACCATCATTTCTCTGCCTAGATCACTCCAACGACTGCTGGAGTCTACTCTCTACATTATCTGCCAGAGAGCTCCCTATAAAACTTAAGTCAGAGCATGTCACTTCTCTGCTCAAAACTCTCCAATGGCTACCTTCTCGCTCAATTAAGAAAGTCATATGGCCCACAAATCCTTATGCAATCAGGCCCCTCCCACCTATCTGCCTGCCTCCATCGCCTGCTTTTCTCCCCCTCCCTCACATCATTTCAACCACACTAACCTTCTTGCTGTTCTTAATATTCCAGACACATACTCTGACCACAGATCTTAGTACTTAGAATTTCCCTGTCCTGGAATGATCTTTTCTCAGATACCCACAGGACCTACTCACTCACTTTAAGTCTTTGCTTAGATATCACCATAAAGCCCTCTGATGATCTAAAAAAATGTAAGCCCCACACTTGCCACCATATCCACCTTTCTTGCTTTATTTTTTTCTAAAACATTTACCTCCATCTTATATCATAGATAGGTAGATTAGGTAGATGATAGATAGATAGATAGATAGATAGATAGATAGATGATAGATAGATGATAAATACAAAATTCTCTTTTTTTTAATTGATTACTCCTCCCCCCCCCCCTACACACACACACACACACACACACACACACACACACACACACACACACACACACAAATAAGACCCAGGAGGACAGATTTTTAATCTGTTTCGTTCACCGCTTGTCCAGAATAGTGCCTGAACATAGTAAGTTCTCAAAAAAAAAAATTATATACATATGGTTGAATAAATTAATGAAGGCAAGGAACGGAGAGGTAATCGGTTGATGGAAAACATAAAGAGAAAACCAGACTCCTTGAAATGGAACATCCTGGTGAGGATTTTCCAGAGACCCTTGGAAATTTGATCCTAGGGAAAGGCCGTTAAGAACCAAGTGACGGTCATATAATGGAAGGGATAACAGACTTCTTGCCTTTTGAGAAACTGGAGCTCTAGCATGGGAAATGGCTAAATAAGAAACGATTATGATACAATAACACATGAACAACATAGATGAGTACGATACATAATATTGAACTTTGTCAAAATCAAGGTGCCTCTCTATAAGCAGTCACAACAGTAAGTTTGTGTGGTTTGGAGAGCAATTCCAAAAGAGGAATTTGTACAATTTTAGCCATGGTGCATATGGAAAGAAGTGAGTTAAACAACATGATTCTCTTAGATGTATAAGATGATGTTTTTCTTATATTCAAAGTAATAGTGCTACTTTCATCACACTTTATATCTCTTTAACACCAGACTTGATTTAAACCTCTTACACAATTCTGACGTAACACCTCCTAGGTTGACAATTAGCTTAAGCTTTAAGGATTTCATATACATTAACCTACTTAGCTCTTTTATGGGTGAGAAAGGCACATTTTAAATCTTAAACTGACATGTGACTCTGTTTTGCTATTTAGTCATACAGTTTTCAAATGACAGACCCAATAGGGAAACAATTTTGTGCTCACGAGTAAGAAGTCAGAGGAGTCAAGTTTGGATCTGGTCCCCCACTAACCAACTGCTCCATGACCCTAACCAAGTTACACTAGTATCTCTCCAGGGTCAGTCCCTCAATGGAAATACACACCGAATTTGATGATTTCTATGTCACCTTACAGTACTGATTATTTGTGATTTTATAATTCATATTTACTTTTCTATTAAATGTATAGATGTGATGAAAATAATAAAACTATTTTGAAACTTAGAATTGATAGTAGATCATATTAATGATCTTCTACAAAATTTTCCTAAGTAAGCTCATTCATATTCATGATTTTTTTTTTTTTACAATCTATTTTTGTTTTTTGTGTTTTGTTTACCTGTTGGGATGATTACAAGGGATCCAGGTCACTTGAGGGTCTGGGATATCCTCCAAGTACGGGTAGATAGATTCCCTGTTGAAGTTCCAGCCATAAATACCATCTTCTGGAGTCACAATAATATGTGCACCCTGTTAAAAATGCAGTTTATTTAAAACATTTCTCAAATAAGCAAACAATCAAAGAGGGGCATGCTAGAAGACCCGAGGAACTGAGTGGCTGAGGAATAACCATTCAGATTTTTTTTCTTTCAATCTTATTCCTTCATTTCCTATATTTTAAATTTATTTTCTTTGCCCAACCACTTTCATTTTCTAACTCCAACATCGTCCTTTCTTTATAACTTTTTCATTTTTTCCCTAAAGACTACTCACAGGTTTGCTATCCATTGCAGTTGTTAGCTCTTCCCCAAATCACCTCCCTCCCTGAACTTTGGCTAATCGTTGTGCCTGAGTGTGCCAGGATTGATTTATCACTCAAATTCTCTGCTTCACCTTCTCCTTGGCTCCAGCCTTCCCTGCAAATGGGATTCCTGCTTCTCAAAAGGAAGGGGCTCAGGCACTGCTTACCTGGAGGGTGTCAGGACTAGAGGTATAACCTGAGCTAACCCCGGGCACCTTCGGGTAGGAGAGTCACCTTGAAACCTGCTCTGGCCTTTAGGAAAATAGCTGGACTAAGGGTGAAAAAGAACCTCAAAATTCTTGATAACCTTTTAAATTTTCATATGTATAAGAATGTATATTGAGAGATATATATTGTATACATCCTTGACTTCCATCTATGACTTCATATATCCTTCTCCTATACCTGATTTATGAATATCTTATTTAAACCATATTTGTTAAAACCACACTTAACCTTAACCCTTCATTTAACTCAAGGGCTTACTATGCATTAACATATATACTTTTATCTGTAATTAGAATGAGGCATAAAATATATAATACATACTGTTAAGTAATTTGCAACTTAAGTTTGTTTCGGTGTTCTCAACTAACCCAAAAACTGAGAGAACAAAAGTACACCAAGGCCACTAATACTCTAAAAATAGCACCCAGTCCCTGACCCATGCCCACCCTCCATCTGTAGCAGAAAAAACGCAACAGTGTTGTTACATTTACTGCAAGATCCTCAAAGGTTTGCTGCCCTTTAATGATAATCAAGCCAATGTTTTTTTTTTTTTCACTTTATCTCACCATTGGTGAGGTAACAGTGTCCTTTCTCTCATAGTTTGGAGAAGGAGGTAGGCTGTAAAACAAAAGTCCTTGGCTAAGCTGACACACGTCATGATGTACCTTGAAGCATGTAATTGACCCTGACAATGACCCTGTCTCCTTAGACCCTACTCTTTCCCTACATAAAAGCTAGCACATTTGAGAGGTGGAACCTGTTTTGCTGCTGATATGATCGCTCCCTCCAAAAGATCCAGATTTCGGTTCATTAATGCCAGCGCCTCTTGACGGGGCACTGCTGTTAAGGTGGCATTAGGCAATATTACTGCATGCTCATAAACAGCCGCAGTAAAGGTATCCAGGGAGCTGGCTTTTAAGACACAAAACACTGAAATTGCCACATAAGTCCGCAGCTGAGAAGTAATCATGCTCAAGTCCAACGGTTGCTGAAAAACAGAGCAAGTCCCAATGTTTAGAGAAACCACAACAAATCTTGTGGTCCCCATAACTTACTACTTTAAAAACAAATCACAACATGGAACTTTAAGAAAACATTGTGGTTTTACATTGTAGACATGGATATAAACACATTTTATATAACAAACGACCCTCCCGTATAGCACTTCTGAGGGCTGTGAGGAGAGGACCATTCAGGCCACTCTCCGTGTAGATGGCTGTCTCCCCTCTGGGGGCATGCCTGAGTCCAGACTGCCCCTTTTTATAAAACACCAGTCATCCGATTTTGTGGCCAGCGTACTCCAGAATGACCTCATCTTAATTAATTTCATCTGAAACGGATACCTACCATGCTAGGGTCCGGCTGCCTGCTGCTTGAAAAAGTTAAAAACCGAGAGACAAGGGTGGCGGAAAGAAAAGCAGGTTTATTCAGAATGCCGGCATTCTGGGAGGATGGCAGACTAGTGTCCAAAGGCCATCTCCCGGCTCTTAGAACGGGCAGAAGGTTTTATAGGTACACAAGAAGAAGAACAAAGGAAAAGGGGGAGTCATTCAGACAGGTTCCAGGGCTGACATCCTTCCTGGGGTCTGGTCTGTTTGAAGACTATGTTATCTCCAGACTCTGGACTTGAACTCACCTACCAAGGCCTGGGGATTTATGTGTATTCCTGTGTCTGGGCGGCTGAGAATTAAGAAATTGCTCTTTTCTGGTTAGGATATTGTTAATTAAGGAGGTATGAGTAGCTTTGAGAAAGGGAACAAAACAGAGTTAATCAATGGGAGGAGAAACAAAGAGGAAATAGTTGAATATCAGGGCGGATCTAACTGCAAACTATAGCTAGCTTTAATTACAGGTGGCTAGATAGCGGGTTTTGCCATGAGTTAAGCTGCAAACTAGCTAAGTCTAATTACATTATTGATTTACTGAACTTAACCCTTCCAAAACTATCCTATTTCCAAATAAGGTCACATGCTAAGGTATAGGTGGTTAGGACTTAAACACTAATTTTTAGAATTCATAACTTTTAGGAGTTCAGCACATAGCAGTATTTGTAAATAATTTGAAGAATAAATAGGTTTAGAATTTTGAAGTTATTACTATCATCATAGGAATATTTAAACACTCTACTTTATTCACTTTAGTCTCCTCAAAATGGGGAAACCAGGACAAAGAAGAATATAAAAGGGTCATTCATTATCTATTGCTATCTAAAAAGTACCCTAAGATGTAGTGGCTCCAAACAGTAAGCATATATTATATTTGTCACATTTTCTGTGGGTCAGGAATCCAAGGACAGCTTAGCTGGGTGTCTCTTTCACAGCCCAGTGTCTCTTTCATAAAGCTGCTGACTCAGGCTGCATTTGTCACAAAGCTCAGCTGGGGGAGAATTCATGTCTATGCTCCAGGCTCACTCACACGATTGATGGCAGGCCTTAGATCCTCATTGGCTGTCGCCCAGAGATGTGAGATCCTTTAGGCTGTGCTAAAAGGCAGGCAGACTCACATTATGGTATCTGGCTTCCCTCAGAGCCAGAGAAAGAGAGAACCCACCCAAGACAGAAGCTACAGTCTCTCAGTAATTTAATGTGAGGAGTGATACCTCATCACTTCTGTTGTATTCTATTCATTAAAAGCAAATCAGTAGGTCCAGCCAGCGCTGCACAGGAGGGGGATTACACAAGGGCATGAATGAGGCAGGGATTATTGGGGACTATTTGAAAGGCTGTAGGCCATTGGGTAATAAGGGAGTGTAAACAATGACCGGGAGAACAAGAGTGAGAACTGAAGAGAAATGGAGGGAGATTGAAGAGAGAAAAATAGTAGAAAATGGAAAAAGAGCTTATAGATTTTGGTATGGAGTAAGTAGGCAAATTTTATTTCAGTTGCAAATAAGTATAATATTTTTTATATTTACAGAATTAGTGTTTATGATTATCTATTTTATATTTAGATTTTATCTTGGAAGGTGTTTTTATATTCATTTTGCAAATGAGTAGGTCTGATTATTTTTTTCTTTTTTTACTTCAGTACTATAATAAATGTATTCTGTGACCAAAGTAACCAGGAAGCTGTGATTACCCAGCCCTTCTGGGTAGGTATCGCAAACACCAGCTCCCTCTACTTGCTGACCGCCTTTTGGTTTTCCATTCACAGGTGGTGGGGATACACACACTTCACAGTGAGATGTAATTGTTACATAACAATTTATAAAAGGAAGCTCTGAAATAAATAAGAAGCTCCCCTTGGGTTTCCAATCTAACGTAGTAAATGCTTGAAAGTCATCTCTCCTACCTTCACAGGAGAAAAGCAGCACCATTGAAAATCCATAACTTTTCTTAGATACATCAGAGAATTCAGGCCACGGAACAAACCATGGCCCCCAAATGGGAGAGATAGGCTTACCTGTAAGCAGAAGTTTACTTTTGGAGCCAGTACTGGTGTCAACCTAAAAATGTCCAAACCTGTAGAGAATTTTTGTAAGAGTTTGTTTGAGCCAAAACTGATGACAGTTGCTGGGAAGCAAGATCACAAATGCCCAGGAGACTGACAGTTTTGTAGTTTCTTTTATGCATTTGAAATTAAGGAGGGACCATAAGGAATAGTACATGCAGGTGGGAAGAAACAAAACAGGGATTGGAACACAATAGTTAACAAGAATATGTGCTTTATTGAGGGTGGTTTCACTTGAGGAGTCTGAAAAGAGGCATTTCAAAGGTGTGTTTACCCTAGATTCACCAAAACAATGAGCAGGGCTTGCTTAAGGTAAAGATAAACTTTTTACTAAAGAATTTTTATTGTCTGGACTGGGAGTATCCACCATGACCCGCCCAGTTAGGAATCTATGATCAGATCACCCTAATATAGGGAAGCAGCATGAGGACTACTTTTACAAAAGAAGCAAGTAAGAGGTTGGATTCCAAGCCTGCTTCCTCGGCACTGCAAGACATAGAGCTCAGGCAGACATTAATCAAGCACACAAAGCAAAGCATCTGAAGGCTGTTGAGCAAAGAGATTCCACTATAGCTATTCCCGTAGTTAAACCTACCACAAACAAGCCACACGTTGTGTCTGACAAAAGTGAAAGCAAAACCTGCCTCGATTCTTCTTGCATCTTACGGAAGTTAAAGATAAATTTACCATTGTTCTTCTTTCCTCCTTTTCCCATACCAATAAATTTTCCATAGAAACAAGAAAACACATATAAACCCTATCCCGACAGGCAGAGGGGGTCTCTGTTCCACTAGCGATTAGAGAATGCCACTCTGTCTTTGGGGTGGCCTTCCTTGTCCTATTTACTATCTGCTCAGTAAACTTACTTTCACTTTAAACTCCAAAACGGCTCACGTTTGAATTCTTTCCTACCTGAAGCCAAGAACCTTCCTGCCCCAGGTCAGGATCCTCAGTTGATTCAGCAGAGCCAATCTGGGGTAATCTTCTTGCTGCCAGCAACCCTGTGAAGTTACTTTCCGTAGAACTTCTTTTTTGGTCCACAACTGGAACTGGTGAGTCACCAACAGTGTCTACTACAATGCCTAAACTGGGTCACCTGATCACTAATGCCACTGCATCACTGTTGACAAGTAATCTACAGTGGCCAAATGCAGCCTTGCTGCTCAGGCAGAGTGGAGAGACTGGGGCAATTGTCTCCAACAAAGCTTGTATGCGGAGAAAACCCTTGATTAATACCTCCAGAGACTTCCAATCAAGCCTGCATCGAGGGAAAGAATTGCCTCTTGAGAGGGAACATGTGACATCTCACTGCCTAGAATAGGTACAAGACCCACAGTAGTCTGGACTTGGCAAAGTAGTGATGATTCCAACCCAGGCATCAGGCCCCAAAGGGAACTCAACTCGAAGTCTTTCCCAGAACAATCGTACAGAACCAGAAATAGGGAAAAGAGTGGAGAACAAGGGCTGAATAAGGTGGGCCCTGCCTCTTGCATTTTATCTCCCCAGCACCTTGCACAGTGCACACAAAAGACCTAATAAGTGTGGCTTTTAAGGATATAGGCTGATTCTTGCCCCAATACTGCCATTACCTTACTGTGCAACCCTAGATAGTTTACGTCCCTTAACAGTCATCTCCTCAGTTGATCCAGCTAATCCAGCTGATCCAGGGAGGTCAGTGCAAATGCTGATCTCACAGCGAGAGTTTGAGGAGAGGAGATGAGAATTTGAGGACAGCTACTGAACTCTGCGGAGCCATCTGCGTCCATGTGTGTGTATGTGTGATGTGATTTATAATAAGATGTATATTTGGTCTTTGTTCCCACAGGGCTTCTGAAACCCTTAGAATTTACTAAGTGATGACAGCAATAAGGGTGTCTTTTGTTATGTTATTGAGGTAACTTTAGGAAAGCAACTAAGAATGGAGGCTGGTTGCCAGTGGGGCCAACCATGTGATTATAAGGTTAGAACTTTCTGTCCCAACTTCAACCTCGGGGTTGAGGAAAGGGGCTGAAGATGGCCAATAATTTCATCAATCATGCCTATGTAATGATGGGGTTCAGAGAGCTTCTAGGTTGGTGAACATGTAGAAGTGCTGGGAGGGTAGTAAACTCAGAGAAGACGTGAAACTTCAGTGTTCCTTCCCCATGCTTTGCCCTAATCATCTCTTCCATCTGGCTGTTCCTGAGTTATATCCTTTTATAATAAATTGGTGATTGAGTGAGTAAAATGTTTCTGAGTTCTGTGGGCTGTTCTAGAAAATTAATTGAACACAAGAAGGGGGTGATTGGAACGTCTAATCTATAGCCATTCAGTCAGAAACACAGGTGACAACCTGGACTTGTTATTGGCATCTGAACTGGGGGATGAGGGGCAGTCTTGTGTGACTGATCCTTTACTCTGTGGGTGCTGATGCTATCTATAGATATATAGTGTCAGAATTGAGTTGAATTGTAGACACCCAGCTGGTGTTGGAGAATTGCTTGGTGGTGTAGGAAAATCCCACGCATACATCAGAGTTGGGTGTCAGAGCTATAGTTGGTGCTAAGAAGTGGGATCAGAGTCAGGATTATGGTGTGTATGTGAAAAGGTTATGCTAGGCAGGAGGTAGGCATGAACGACAGGAGGGGTGGGCGATAATCTAACTGGCACTTTGCACCACCCGGGTCCACTCCCCAGGGACCACCCAGGTCCAACCCCCAGGGACTAATTTTGTGATTAGAACATCCTTGAAAAGAGGGAAGTAAAGTCCATCTAGAATTATCTAGTTTTTGATTCCTGCACAGAATGTTAAAGCTTACCTTTGGTTTAACCTTAGCCTCATTATACTATAGTTACAATAAATTAGCATTGTGGTTTCAACCCCACCCCCCACCCCCGTGGGGTTTTCTGTGTGCATTATGGGTAAGGACATGCACAGAAATGAATGGGTTATATAACATACATGTCCATTAAATGACCCAAGTCACACACAGGGCTGGGCCAGAGCCAACAATATAAGCTCAAGACCCAAACCCTTCAGGGCCATTGTGTCTCTTGCCTTGGCCCTTAGAATTCTTCCCTTAGAATGTATCCTAATAAACTTTCCTTACTCTATACCTTCATGTTTGCTGATCTTTAATTCTTTACTGTGTCAGCAAAAGGACTGAGTTGTTACTCCGGTAACAGTTAGGAATATACCTCCCTGTTGTTTTTAAATAGATATGCCTAGATATTGTAAACCAAACTTAATTTTAGACTGCAATAAAGAACAAATAGCATTTATTTGAGCAAAAGGAGCTGCAGCCTGAAAGAGACAGTTTCAGGTAGTAATCTAAATTGCGTTCTGCTGAGACAAAGGGGAGGCCTTTTATAGCAAAAGTTCCTGCCCACACTCTCAATTGGGTCTCTTTTATGTAAATGATATCCAAATTGTGCAGCTCTGATTGCATGGGACAGGTCTCAGTCCATGGGCAGAAAGACAAAACAAGGGTTTCCCTCAGTGGTTGACTCTCAGACAGTGTAAACAAGTGGGGACTAGTAAACAAGTGGCCAGAAGCCTGTGGTTCTTCTGCATATACACAGTACATGAGGAGCCCCTGTCAGCAAATGGCTGCGAGACTCTTATGATTTATAAAATTGGGTTCTCGGTTGACCATGGGGCGCCCATCTCAACAGATAAATTCCTCTTGGAGTTCACGTCAAATGAAATCTTCTCAGGGTCCACAATATGGATTTTTAATGGCTAGTACACTGTCAAATTTTATTGACATTAATCTACTTGATAAAGTTGTTTACATTATTAGCGTCGGGCTCAGAACGAATCACCCAAAGATGTGCCACTCTGGCATGCAGATTATTTCAAACTGGAAACAATCCAGGCCCAGAAGGTTCAGGAAGAACCTTTGACCTTCCCCCCTTATTTTGATCAAGGACTGGCTCCAGGAAGGGAGCTATCATCATAAATGACTATATTTTAATATGAACTAGGTGTGATAAACAGGGATGAACCCAGCAAGGTCCATTTGATCCAAGTCCTCTCTGTGTCAAATTGTTTCAAGACAGCTCAACATGCATTGGTTTACTAAACAATAACTCTTTTCATCTCCCTATGAATTAATTGCCTTATTTCCCCTTCCTTAGTTCTGAAGTATGCTTATGTATTGAAACTTTGTTTTCTCCTGTTATTCTGCTATATGTCATTTAAACTACTTGACCAGCTAGAAGAACTGAGAGGGAAAGAGGAAACTGTCCTCATTCCTGATATAAGAATACATCTATAGTTTTGCAATAGGACTTAATGAAACTATTTTTATTGTGTTTTGGTTTTTAATGTAGACACTAACCATTGTCATGCAGCCTGAACTGGTTCTCATGAAAAACAAATTTTTGTGCTCACTAGTAAAATATACTCTGCTACCTCAGGAATCCTAGTTGAAGCTATAAGAATGGCTTTGCTCTCTGGATAAAGAATTTAGATGAGGAAGATACAGCTTTGAGGATTGAGTCTGGCTGAAGTCCTCATTTATAAGTATTTTAAAAAGAAATAGGCCCAAAATGGAGTCATTTGCCCTCACAACAGTGAACTAAAACTTAATGGCGGTATTCAAGATCTCCTAGGAGAGTACTTTAAACAGTAGATCTGAAATTTCCTGATTAGCATTAGTGAGGTTATCTGAGTGATAAAACCCCTGCCAGCCCCTTCCTCCCAAAAGATGTCCTGGCCTGAAACAATCCTTTCTTCTGTTTTGCTAATAAACTTCTGGTCCCACCCAATTTATCCAGCCCAGTTTCTGCCTATAAACACCTTCCAATGTGCATAACTCTTCAGTACCCTTCTAGTGCTGGAAGTGGTGCTACAGGATTCAAAAGGATCTTCAAGTTCACTTGTAGGGACCCAGGCCCAGACCCTAGGCTAGGGCCCCCG